GCAGAGTGACGGGTCGCGGCCGCCCTGCGTCTCCGAGGTGGGAATGCCGGCTGCTGGGTTGAATGAGGGGCCAGACAAGGCCGAGAAAGCCGCCCGCAGGGCAGTCAGGAATCGTAACTTGTGCTACTAGAATCCGACCCGTGGCTCCTCAGCGTGTCCTGGGAAAACCTCTGTTTCGTGCACTAGAAACAGGGACCCTGGGGACCCTGGAGACCCTGCCCTCGGGGCTGTTAGCCCAGAAGCACCTGGGAGCCTGGAGGTCTCTCTCGTTATTTTGGAAGTGGGTTCACGCAAGCTTCTCCTAATAGGCTCAGTCTTGCCAGGGGTAGACAGTGCCATGGTGCTCATGGGGGGTTCTCATGGTGACACTGCGCCCACACTGGGGACAGGGGCCCTGGGGTTCGTACCTGAGGGTGCAGTTGGAGTCACTCTCTCCATCCACAGTAGGCAGAGGGAGGGCCGGGAAGCCCCTGGGGCTGGTTCTTGTTCTTTTTTCTTTTTGGAGAGGTTTTTGCTATAGGGCGTGTGCGCTCGCCAGACAGACAGAGACAGAGAGATGGAGAGACAGAAAGCGAGAAATCACCCCCAGGGGAGATGACCACGCTGCAATCCCTTCTCCTTCATTCTCCTCTCGGGATCTTGGGCACGCACGCACACGCGCCTGGCGTGAGTTTAAGCCACCGGGTTCGGGACCGCAGTCGACTACATGGGAGTCCAGTGACATGGCCATTATGCCAACTGCTGGACCCATGGAAGAGCTGGTTCTAGGCACCAGGATTTGGGGTCTGTGCTTCCTGGGCCCACGTGGGGACCTGATCGGAACAGACACCCCTCCCACGTGGTACCCCCTGCAGAACCCGTGGTCAGTGGGCCGTGCGGCTAACATGCGTGTGCGGAAGAGTCCACCGTGTTGGGTGCGTGGGATCGAAGCCCCTAGTCGTACTCTGGGGGGAGAGCTTGATGTGGTAGGAGACCCCCAAGGGGAGGCAGCCTGTGTTTCTCAGGGGCCTCCCTCCCTGGAACCGAGCCTACAGTGCCCCCCAGGCCCACTTTGGAGCAGGTGTCCTCGGGTGTGTCTTGGTGGCGAGCAGGGGGTGGGGGCCCGGCCTCCCGCGGGTGCGGCTGGCCCAGCGCCTGTGCCCGCAGGTGTGGCAGTGCGGCGGCAGCATGGAGGTCTTGCCCTGCTCACGCGTGGCCCACATCGAGCGCACCAGAAAGCCCTACAGCGGCGACATCGACTACTACGCCAGGCGCAATGCTCTGCGGGCCGCCGAGGTCTGGATGGACGGCTTCAAGTCCCACGTGTACATGGCCTGGAACATCCCCATGACCGTAAGCCACCGGCAGGAGGGGAGGCTTGGCCTGGGGTGGGAGAAGCTGCCACCGCAGAAGCGAGTCGGGCAAGCTGCCCCCATGGCCCCAGGCAGAGCGCCCGCCACGGCCCTTTGGGAAGCGTGGGGCAGACACCACCGCACACGGCCGGCTCTGCGGGTCTCCGGGCTCCTGCTTTGTCAGTGGGTCGGGCAGACAGCGGCCCTCTGGCTCTGGGAGCCTTGTCTCTCGGAGGGAACCGACTTGGGACATCTAGGCAGCGAGTCGGGCAAGCTGCCCCCATGGCCCCAGGCAGAGCGCCCGCCACGGCCCTTTGGGAAGCGTGGGGCAGACACCACCGCACACGGCCGGCTCTGCGGGTCTCCGGGCTCCTGCTTTGTCAGTGGGTCGGGCAGACAGCGGCCCTCTGGCTCTGGGAGCCTTGTCTCTCGGAGGGAACCGACTTGGGACATCTAGGCGTGGCCTCGGACACACGAGGACACGGCTCCAGCCAGGCCCCCCCCCCCAGCCGCTGCTCAGAGAGCCCGCGAGGTGGCAGGTGCCACCCACACTGCAGCTCACCCACACCAGGGCACAGACAGGCCGGGGGGCAGCCCAGGGCACACTGGACAACCGGCCCCCCCAGCCAGTCTGTCAGACGGAGGGCAGGGTGGGGGCAGGCGCTCCCCTTTGCCGCAGGGAGAAAGTCAGTGGGGAAGGGGTGCTGGGGAGGGTCAGGGGAGGCCAGGCGTGAGCTCCCAGCCCGCTCCCCTGGGTGTCCCACGGACAGCGTCACGTCTCCCACACCAACCTGTGCTGCCAGCCGGGAGCCCCAGGCCTCTGTGTCAGGACCTTCCTGGGGCTCGATTGTGTAGACGTGGCCAACCCCGGTCACCCGTCCTCCAGAGGCCAGGCCGATACCTGTGGCCGAGGCCCCGTCAGGGTTGCTGTGGCTCGGACTGGGGTGGCCTGAGGCCCAGGTAAAGACATTTGTCAGGAGGGCCGTGCAGGGCTCAGTGGTTGCGTGAACGCGGGAAGGGGCCAATCTGAGGAACA